ATCGGTATCGACATCGGCTATCTGCCAAAATGAATTGAAAATTACCGGCATATCGGATATCGGCAAAAATCCAATATCGTGCATCCCTATTTAGCATCTATGGTATGAAAATGATCGCTGTGAGACGCTGAGGGCGCAGTTGCCAGATCCAGCTATTATAAGCGGATTTGGACTTGTCTTTTCCACTTAATTTGACACTTCAGAAAGTTAATAAAGTGGGAAGTTGCAGTTTAGGGTTAGCGATATCTTCATCTTAGCTAATTTGCAAAATAACTAATTTCAGTTTATTTTTATATATTTTTTCGTAGTTTTTTTTTTCCGTAGCAATATCTGGAAATACTGCATCGCCGGCACTTAAACTCACAGTCATCATAAAAGCCCACCCATAGCCCACCCTCAATACGGCATATAACCAACTAAAAACCAAACTTATTTACAAAACGAACACTTGAACGTACATCAGCATGATAAAAACTATATAAAATGACAAACTATCTTTGGAAAAAAAAATATCTGAAGTGTAATTTAATTATTTAGTTTGTCTCACGTCCCATTAGATTACATGGAGAGGGCGGGGTTTATGACCTATACTCCGTCAGGCTACCTGGGGGCGATCGAAACGCTTTTGTTGCTGACAGAATATGCAAAAAACATCATGATACTATTGGTCAGAAACGTTAGCAGTGCTATCAAGAACAGTAGCATTTAACACTACACAGATCTGTAAAACATTTAGGTTACAGAATGAAATGAAATATGCAAACACTAGCCATGAAGAAGTCTATGCTATACAGTATTTTATTCAGTCTATTAGTTACATTTTCACAAAAGTCATGCTAAAAACATTCATAAGAGCACTAGACAAGGTATCATCAATACAGCAATGGTTATTAATAAAACAATAACAGTTAAATGCATTGTTGCATGAATAATAAACAACTGATCAAAATTATCCACCCCTAACCTATAGACTATTAACACATTTTGATGCAATGGTATAATTTAACAGTGTTCATCCCTCCAGAACAGAGAAAACATCTTTCACAAACATATATGGCTGTCTCTTTTAAAGTGTTAGTGTATATAAATGATATGTATTTGTAGGGGTTACCCACCCCAGACCTCACTAATTTTCAAACCCTGGTTACGGCCATGAAGACAAAGCAAGCAATCTCAGATGAAGTCCGTGCAACCCCACTTTATCATGGTTGCATCCATTGTCTGTACTTTCAGAAGGGAAAACTTGTCGTTTTGATGTTGATGAGATCTGACCCTGACCTGAGATGAGATGATGCAGAGTAAGCTGTATATTTGGAAATAAATCTTTTGAAAATGTGTTGTCAGTATGACATGTCAAAGGTCAGATTGGGTCCAGAACAGCAGATATAGTAGTTATCAGTCATTGAGTCCCACATTATTGCCCTGAAAACCTATGCTACAGCTTTTGGTAGGAGTGTTTTGAATTAATTCCTCCAGTGTGTAACAAACAGTCATGCAGTCTGTTTTTGACAGATGGTTTGTATTACCTTGAATTGGGATTCAGAAGTTAGCTGTGTACGTTTTTAAAATTATGCGTGAAGATTTGAGAAAATGGCCAGTTTTTCCTGTGTCAAAGCAGAAAAACTTTAATACAATGCCACATATCGCGCTTCTCAAGATACAAAATTAGATAATTTAACCTCAAAACTGTTTTGACAAACTAATGCTACATCCCTATTCGCATACTATCCGTTGCTTTAATGTGATGATTTTCCTCAGGGCCAGAAACAGCACACAGATTGGGGTTAGAGGGTACAACAGAGTGAAGCAGAACAAAACTGCATTTGTGCAACTTCTGTTTGCACTTCTTTGGACAGTTACGCAATTCTCAGAATAGCACATCTCCAAAACGTCAATAAATAAATGGAGAAGCAATAAATAAAGTGTAAAGACATTAGGAGGCATTGTTTTCATGGTTTAATTTAAAGTATGTCCAACCGGATTAAAATGAACCTTCAGAATGGAGAGAACAGAAGAAATATGACTTCAGATGATGACCATATGGCAAGTGCTTTAAATGGAAACGTTCCAGAGAAAACAGAACATGCAATACAAATGCTTAATGTTGAATACACAAATGCAGTATAAAAATTTAACATACAAACACAAACAATTATATGAACAAAGTAATACCACAGATATTGCACAAATTGCACATCCACCTGATGTTAAAGGAACAGTTCACAGCAGTACGCTTCATACAAACTCTAGCAATACGCCCCAATTTAAGCTGTCGCACGCCGAAAATCCTCTCTGACTTAAAAATGGTTTCAATTTGGCTCGGTCTCTTACAGAAAACTATCACATGGCTTCAGAAGACTTGGGATGTGGTTATTATTAATACTTTTATGTTTTTTTTTTTTTTTGTCCTCTTTGAAGCTTGCCAGCTCCTGGTCACTGTCTGCGTATACTGCATGGAAAACAGCAGCGTGAACATTGTGCTAAACATCTCCTTTTGTGATCCACAGATGGAAGAAAGTTATACAAGCTTGGAATGACATGAGGGTTGATAACTGATGATACCCCTTTCATTTTTGACCTACTTTATATCATCTCTTGCTCTTTTGTCATATAAACAGAAAACCCAGTGGGCAATTGATGCTGAAAAGACAACTAAATGACATCAAAATGAACATAAAAAAACAGGTCAAATATGAAAATCAAACTGACATCAAAAACTTGACATGCCGTTGATTTGATGTAAATTGAACGTCAAACATATTGACCATCATTTACATCAATTTCAGTGTGGGATTAACTTCCTATTTTCACCCAATTACCACCGGAAGAAATTGCCATCCAAACTAATTTTAAAATGATGTTCCAGCATCTTGATCAATTCAACTAATATTTGACGTCAAACTGATATCAAGGTGCCCACAAATGTAATCTACTATACAAATACATTAATACATACACATGGAATGTGTAGTATACCATATACTGTTGTAAAATAAACTACATCACAAGAGATTTTTTATTTTGTTGGGCTCATTTTTACAGGACACATTTTTCTTTGACTTCAAATATTCAAATTCTTACAACAACAACAAAAAAAATTAGATGAGTTCTCAATTTATGGAAACTTCTGGCCAACTTCCAAAGCTTGGACTCTAATATGCAGATGCTTTAATCAGTGAATTCAGTAAAGTCACACACACAAAATATATCTTTAAACTTACTTAGTTACTAAAGTAATTAATAAAATATATTTTGTCACTCAATGAAGATATATATTTAAAAATATATATATTTTGAAAGAAAAAAGAAAATCCATATGAATCTCATGAAAACATGATCGGTCATTTCACTCCATAATCTAAAGAAAAAGGCATTTTGGATATAGAAAATGAACCCTTTTAGGATTATTAAGGGCAGTGCAACAAATATTCAAAATACTACCATCATTTATATTTAAAAAAAAAAATTTTTCAAACATATCAGCAATGAGAATGAGATTGGAATAAAATGTCACATCAAGAAAGGTCCTGAAGCAGTCTTACATAATTGCTTTTGTCTTTCTATTGATTTGAGAGTTAAATAAGACACATTTTGACATATTTCACGAGATTCAGCCACTGTTTCTAGTTATGGTCAAACAAATATTTAACAAATCTACATCGACAGAGACTCCGAGGTAGCCATTTCCCAATCTGTCCCATGTGGGACAGCCTTTTCAGTAAGAACTCTAAAAATAAAAATGTGCTTCCTTTTATGTTCATGTCCAATAGTTGATTTGTTGGAAGGTTTCATCTTGTTAGTCCATGGCTAAGAGTTTGGATACGAGTCTGACGTTTGTTCGCTCGTGTCTTTGAGCCATATTTAGTCCCATCTGAGAGCGAACTAATGCGTCAGCCCACTGTTTGTCTGTGAAATCTTATTTAGCCTCCATCAGAGAGGCACCGGCACAAGAATGCAACAAATTTCCTGTTAGTTCCTGGGGGTTATGTGTTGTTTTTCCTGTCTCTGGGAGCCAAGCTTTTTATTTTTTTGTTCTTTGTCCCCACTGACTTCCCGTAGCCGGGTAAGCGAATGGAGTATTTTGAGGTACAGGGAACGTTTCAGGACTGCTACCGTCTCTCTTTTTCTTTCGCTCGGGATGATGGGATGCGTGGAGCGAGATGGCTTCGAGAGGGAGAGAGCGTTAGGAGAGGAGGGACACATGGCGACGGCGTTATGCCATGCTGCTGGTGGGCGTGCTCTGGGTGCTGCCAATGCTGGCGTTGGCGCTGCTGTTCTCAGAGGGAGACGGGTGGGTGGCCACTGGCTGCCGTTTGGTCAGACCACACGGGCATCCGGATATAGAGAGGACTGGACAAAAGACACAAAGAATATTGAGCAAAATTAACAAAAACAGGTTTTCCAGGCAACTATCGAGTGAGGCGATCTTTCCTGTCTTATTTCCTTTTCACGGTATGGAGTAGAGGAATTGTGTTGAGGAAAAGATTGACTCATTTAAAGTTCAGAGTTCGGTTTACCTGAGAGCTCGGCCACCGTTGATCTCATTCCCAGAGCCACAGGATGCCCTGAAACACATGCATGCATGAGATCTGGACATTACCGTTGATTACAAAACTCATAAAGAGATCACTTATATTCAGGACTTCAAAAAAGTCCCTTCAAGACGAGCACAGATCATCAGTCTGGAAGTACTACGGCAGTGGCCTTACTTAACTGCTTCATCTTATTTCTAGTGGGAAATCATCACGAGGCTTGTTAGAGCTGCTCTCTCCACCTCTTCCCTCATAAGCTAAAGAAGCAGAGAAAACTCTACCTAATACATCTTCTCACGTTTGAGTAGTTAAATAAGTCATAAGCTCTGCTAAACATAACTCATTCCAAATGCCTGCAACTTACCTGTGCGTATCTTAATAAACCATAAAGCACCGGTGAGGAGAACTCCGATCAGAAATCCTCCAAACGCGATTCCCAGAACAGCCGAGAGCCCAAACTCAAAACACGGATCTGAAACGGAGTAAATATTCATTTCAGAAACCATTGCTTTCCCTCATTCAATGGAAGACAATTGTTACCATGCCTTTGTAAAGTGATTTCCCCCATGGGTCAGCTGAAAATGATAACTAGGTCAGAACATGGGTGTAAGAAATTGGGGGCTCGTCCGGGATTTGAACCCAGGACCTCTCACACACCAAAGCGATAATTATATCCCCATATTTAGCTCTACTTAATTGTCATACCGGTGTTGTATAAATACAGTATGCCAGGTATCATTAGATGACATCAGTGTCAAGGAAGTTACTGTGAAACTGTAGTTTGCCAAGCTACAAGCCAATCGTAATGTAGAGTAGCCCAACTACAGTCAAATTACTGTGAAAGAAGCTACCTTGAAAAAGTAGCAAGCTACACTAAAAGCTTCTTGCTAACTACACTAAAGTTATCGAGACCATCAAGATAAGTCCATGGTATTAATATAGTGCTTTTCACATTTCATACTGCATAAGCAGCTTTACGGAAAAGCATCCCCTAGAGCAGGGCTCTATAGTCCTGATTGGCCAGTGTTCTGCAGACTGTCGTTCCAATCCCAATTTAACCCACATGTCTGTCATTTGCAACCAACACCTTTCAGCCTGTTCAGGTGTGTTTGGTTAATGGTTAAACTTAGTAAGACACTAAAATGCAGTTAATTAAATATATGTTTACCATTATATATTTAAATAAACATTTTAATGCATTTATTTGACATTTTATTTTAAAATTGATCAGTACTTTTGGAGCAGGTCAGAGCTACACACACTGAAGATTATAGTCTTCCATATGTTTCTCAGCATAAGACATTTGTTACTGATCATTTATTTATAAATCAAACCCAGACAGGATGCTTAACAAAATTAAAGCATTCGTATTATGGTTACATTTTTATTTTATTTTAGCTCAACCAGTGAAATATATTCTACAAGGGAGACGAGAGAGATTCCTGTGCTGATATTTTATCATAAAACAATGCACAACTAAAAAGTCACAACTACATAACACATTATTTAGTAAAATAAATATATTAACTTGTGTTCCCACAAAAATAAAATAAAATAAAATGTCACAGAGACTGCCAGACGAACAATTTTCTTCACTTTGAGCATTTGATTATTGCCTTGTTTATTCAGCTGTGAAGCTAATGTAGTGTTTTGTCACTATGCATTGGAAAAAAAGTGCAATAAACCTTTAGGGTTTTTACCTTGTCACTGGGGCAATACTATCTGTACTCTAACTAACAAAAAGGTGCATGTTAATACCTTTAAATGTCTTTACACAGACAGTTTAAAGCTGCTCAGAGGTGGCATAAATGCATTTACACAGCAATTTGCACCTTTATACAGTACTGTGATACTAGGGGCTGAGGTGGGTCAGAGCAATCATAATTTAGCCTGGCTTTTATACGGCATTGCATCTTTACACAGAATTTTGAGCAGGCAGAGAAGCCTTAATTTGGCTGCATAAATATGCATTTAGAGTAGTAATACATTCCCTTAAGGTACTACTACAAACCTTTTAAGGGTAAAATAAAGTACACCGTTGTACTTTACGGGTACTACACTGCTTTAAAAACAACTAAACTACAGTCACCTACTGACAAATGTAGCTGACTAGTAGTATCGCTACTTGGGCTCTTGATTTCATCCAGTGTTGGCAAGTAACTAACTTCTCTAAGGCTATTTAACACAAAGCTCTGGTTGCTCACGTCAAAAGTGGAGCAAACAGACACAGAAGCAGTCCTGAAGTGCATCAGAGGTCCAAGTGCGTTTCTGCCAGTGGGTTAAAGGCTCATAATTTGTCTCCTTGGTGGATTGAGTCATGTGGCGCCCACTCTGCATCCTCTCTGAATACATGTCCCAGTATTCATATATGCCGCTTAACACACACGCTCTCATCTTCCTCTCAATGACAATGACGGGAAGCAGGAAGGTCAATGGCAGCTACTTGTTTTTGCTCAAGTACATGTCTCTGTAATCGCACACTTTGATGGCGAGGTGTTTGCTAAAGGCCAAGCACCTTTGCAAAGACAGCGAGAGAGTTTACCAAAAACACCTCGGCTGCTCAAATAATGGTTCCCAAGGGGCTTGAAGAACTTTTGGTTTGGCGCCACAGGAAGGGTCTGTTTTATGTCCCTTTTTTATTTATTTTCTTCCCCACGTCAGCAGCAGATCTTCCACCAAATATCAGCTTTATTTGTGTGTTTTGTCAGAAAGTCTGAGCTGAGCAAACAGAGGCAGGAAACGGCTGAGCAGGTGGTCAGGAGGGGATGAACTTCGGCCCCTCAAACAGGAAGGACAGCCCGAGGGCTCGCATCCTCCAAAACACAGGTGACTCCTAACAGATCCTAGTACCTGTTTTCTTCTTAGAGGTTTCAAACTGACCGTGTCCCAATGCTGATCTCTGGACCTTTAGAGGTACCCTGTGGGGGAAAATGCCTCCAACATCAAGAATTACATCAACCTTGTCTAGTGTCCCAAATGGACAACAGCGGAGGAAAAAAGTGTGGATGAAGATGTATCGGCGTGTCCTGCAGAAACATGACTCCAAGTCAGTGTTTGTGTAGAGTGCAGCGGTCTTTCGCTGTGGCCGGCAGCGAGGAATGCAAGAGTTTGTTCTTGACTCATCTTCCCGGGGACTGTCTTCCCTTTTGAAGAACAACACCTTCCCTTCTTTGTGTGCGGCTGACAATAGAGACCCGGGCCGTATGTTCGGAAAGGCCGAGCATACCAGACCTCGGACACAATAAATCCCCCACTGGCTCATTATTTCTGATTGCGGCCACAAGGTCAGCAAGCAGGCTTTCCTATAAACACCCCCTTCCCGTCGTCCTCGTATCCTGACCTCATCTACGTGATGACGTCAGCCAGAGGT